TCTCAAGACAACGATGCTGAGTGCAAGCAGCCAGATAAAAATAAACATATACTGTATGGTCCCATTTGTATGAAGTTCTAGGAAATGCAAACAAATCTATAGTGACAAAAAACAGATTGGTGATTGGCTGGGAAACGGGGGAGGGCTGGAAGCGGAGGCAGGGATTACAGCTACATGAGAAAACTTAGGGTGAAGAGTATGTTCATTATTGATTGTAGTGATGGCTTCATGGATGTATGCGTGTCAGCATTTGTCAGATTGTAACTTTAAACATGTGCAGTTTATTTAATACCAATTATACCTCAATAAAGTGTTTAAGAAAAATACTAGGAAGGAAAAAGTATAGACAACCCTTTTGCAGAATTATACTGTAAAGGGAAAAAGAGAAATGGGGGACAAGGTTTTGTTTTAAGCACGTTTGTTGACTAATGGAAATATCTCAGTAGGAAGAGAAATTTGCCAGCACTGCAGAGGGGACAACTGCAGAAGTGATACCCCTGAGAGGGCCAGAAGAGATGGGACCCAGTGCGGGCCGTTCCTCTGTAGAGGAGAGGGAAGACAGAATTCGAAGGGACAGAGGCATGTAGGTGGGTGGGCGCAGGAGCCTGGGGAAGGCCCCTTTCAATTATTTCTATTTTTTGAGTAAAATCTAAACGGGGGTCATCAGCCAAGAATGAAGAAGGGGAAGAGGTTTTGGAGATTTGAGATGCGGGGAAATGTGTGAAGCAGTTCTTTTGGAGAAGACCAAGTTCTTCATCAGTACCCTGCTGCTAAGTGCTGCTCATGTGCTTGGGACGCAGGCCCTGCTGCATTACACTCTGGGCCCGTCACAGGCTCTGCTGGCCGTCCTCAGAAAAGCCCCTGCTCCCTGCCTCGCCCGCCCTGTGACATTTCTCCCCGCCTGACAGTGCTTCGTGTGCTGGTATGCTGGTTGTCCATCCTCGCGGTGTTTCTGGCACTTAGAACAGTGCCCGGCACACAGCAGATGTGAAAGGGACGGTCTGAGAGCCTCTCCTCTTCACCCACAAAAAGATTCCACCTATTTACACCCTGCATCTCTATCCCAATGGCTTCTGTTGGCCCGTTATACCCCTCTACCTTGTTCTGTTCCTGGGAGACTGTATAGATTACATCTACAGACAGTTTGCTTTCTGGCTGTGATTGGGGCCAAAGGGGACCACTGGCAGGAGTCTAGAGCAGCAGGAATGAGGCCACACAATCTGTTCCCTAGGTTGACTCCCTGTGGTCACCTCAGGCTGACTGAATGCCGACTGAAGGTCAAAAATTGCTAGTGCCTCCTGTGCTGTCTACCCTCATCCCCTCAGCATGAGCAGTGGTTACTTGTCTATGACTAGCCTCAGGTAAAACTTGTGTGGTTTCCTTACCCTGCCCTGGCCTATGTAAACAATCCTTTTATTAAATCCCCTTAAAATGATCCTAACTTGTGTGCACCATCTGTTTCCTGCTGGGAGTCTGACATAATCCCTATCTGTGAATAATGATTTTAATAACTCTCTGAATTCCATTAGTGCCTTGCTACTCAAATGCGGCCAGGGGCCAGTAGCATGCCATCACCTGAAAGCTTGTAAGAAATGCAGAATGCCAGGGCCCACCTCAGGCCAATCGATTCAAGTTCATCTGCTGGTAATTCCTTATGCATGTTAAAGTCTAAATAGCACAGTGTTACCGAGTATTGAGTCTTACTGAAGCCCTTTCGGGTGCAAAAAATCCAAGGACTCACTTAGACTAGCCCCAGGCAATGGGGTCTTGCCCCTCAGGCAGTGAAAGAGACCAACTCACACAGAAATCTAAGCATAGGACCCGGGGGAGGGGAAGCCTCATGGAGACAGGACCCAGGGGGCGAGTGTGGATCTAAGACCTCAACAAGGGCATCTGCAGATCTTCGTGGCTCTACCCGATATTCATTACTCTGTATGTGTTCGCCTCACATTCCATGACCAACTGGATCCTTCATCATTTTCTCTTTTATGTTTATGGTCACTTGTTCACTTAGAGCTATGCCTAATTCTCAATCTGAACTCACTCTTTTGCCTATCATGTGCTCCCTGGTCTGTCTCATAGCCTTATTTTGCTGACTACCTAACTTTCAGTTTCTGAGAGTAAGAACATTATTTGCCCACTTTGTCCCTGTTTGGGCACAGCTTTTTGCACCAGCCTCTCTCAAAGGCTAATGGCTAGCCTTTAGGTTAGCTGCCAATTCCTGATTCAGCAGGCACGGTTAGTACGGTATAAAACATGCCTGCCCTGGGCCATCAGATCAGCAGGGACTATGGAAGACAATCACGCTGTGATTACACATCTAGTTAAAATGGTCTAAAAGATATGAAACAGGGTTTTCAAACCTTGGCTGCAGGCTCTTTCCCCTTTACCTCCACTACCACCTCCCATCCTCCCCACACTTCCCGGGAACATCTGCATCCTCTGGCAGACTCCGACAGTCATGGAGATGACTCGTTATGTTCAGGGTATTCCAAATGTTGTGTAACAAAATTAATTACATTTAATTAAACTTATTCATTTTTTATAGCCCCAAACAAATCGAAAATGCCATGTTAAGCTTGTGAGATGGCAGTCCTCCAGAGGGTTCTGTTGCTGGTTCCGTCTGCTCTCAGAGACACAGGCAATTTTAGAGATCATCTTACATGAGCAGATCTGATGGATGGCCTCAGTTAAGTATCAGGCAAGAATTCATCTCTGGGTTGCAGATCAAGCAACTACTTACGTCCTCCCTCCTTCCTGAATTCCAGCAATGGCTTTCTTACTAAGATAATAATCTTCCTCTGTCCACCTCTTCATAATACACTAAAACGATGAATTTCCTTTTCTCTCTTCTCCACTATGTTAGCAGGAGAGAGAACTGTTTTTATTTCTTGCAGGTACAGGGCCTGGTATATGGTAGGTGCTGAATTACTAACATTTATTGAATGAAGGAACGGTCTTGATCATTGATTATGTGTTTCTCTCACCTTGTGTACTAATCAGGTTATTCTGTGATAATTCGCCAAGTCTCAGCGGATTTCTCGCTCCACAGGTCTGAGAGGTGACTGTGTAACCTGCGCCCAGACTGAAGCAGTGTTACCCAGCAGAGTGGGATCTGGCTGCCTGCTGTCGAACGCAGGCATAAAACAGATTGGTGAGGAAGGAAAAAGGTCTTTATTAAAATGTTAACCCTATTTGGGGGAGCGGGAGACCCTCTGGCTCTGGGCCCCTCTCTTCTGCAAAACACAGAAAGATTCCAGTCACACCCAGAACCAGAGACAGTGTCCAGAAACTCTGCTCCATTCTTATCTTTCTGGGGCCTAAGGCTGTTATGTGAATGGCTCTCCAGCTTCAGGCTCCCTTTCTGGAGTGCAGACTTGTGTGGCCAGTGCTGCCCCTGCCTCGCTGCAGCTTCTTCCATCGCCTGGGGCCTGGGGCCACCGCCAGGCCACAGCAGCCAGTTGTGCAGGAAGGATCTGCTCGCACTCCAGGAGCCAGCAAGCATTCCATGCTGTGCACCTGTGTGCCAGTCTCAGGGTGGGAGAAGGGGCACAGTCGTGTGGCGAGGAGTCACAGTGCCCTGCAGGCCACCACTAGACATGCGGGGGGGCACAGGACTTGGCTCCTGCAAGACAGCTTCCGGACCAGACAGATGAGGGGGCAGAGATGGGCGAGACTTTGCCTGCTTTCCGTTTAGATCTTCCACCCCAAAATTCCATGTGCCACCGAAGCATCCAACTTCCCAGCCAGTCCAGGCTAGTGTCCATTGTGATCATCAGCCTGTGCAGTGTCTCTGCCCCTTCCCTGCCACCCTGATGGGGAGGGCATAGGAGGGTTTCTAGCTCTGCGCAGTGTCTCTGCTGGGGTGGGGCATTCTTGCACTGGTTGTCGACCATTTGTTTACCCTGTACCTGGGCCTATGGAAATCTCCCTGGCGCAGGCTACGGTTTCAGTCCCGCCACCTCCAGCACTTCCTGACCCCTCCTTCCTCTGAGGACTGGGCAAGCTGCAGGGGTCCCTCTCTGCTCCCCAGCAATCTCATCAGATCCCCCAATAACAGCAGTGACCTCCCTTTGGCCCATGCTGGTCTCCTGATGGAAGGTAAAATTGCAAGAGAGCTGATGGAAATATCAATGCATCTTAAATCCTCTTCTTATTATACAAGGGCACATTCCAAGGGCTAAAAAGTAAGTTACACAGCCAAAGCAATATTAGCCACATGTAAAAAAATAAAAAATAAAAAAAAAATGGTTTCCAAAGGGAGGGAAGAGGCTGGAGTGAATATTTGGTAAGCAGCAATATTTAACCCATGTATTGTTAGCCCAGCTTTCTCGCAACATGATTCTGATGTTTTCAAAGTCAGCAAGCCAAAATCCCCTACAATGTATACAATAAGGTCCAGATCCATTCAGTTTCAGAAAGAATACAACTCAAAGTAGTTTATGCAAAAAGGAAATTTACCCCCCAGCCCTGGGGGCTGCAGGCTGGCAGTCTTGCCAGAACTGCCCAGGCCCAAGGGCTATGGATGATGTAAAACTTCCTTCTGGAAGTAAAACAAAGGAAAAATGTGAAAACAAAAATTAAAAACTTTAAATTGAAAAAAAAGGTTCTGACCCATGACCTAACTAGGAAGTACGATGCCATCAGGGTCTCTCGCTCTTCACCCTACTCATCTCCACGCGTGGTCTTACTCTCCCTCTCCCCAGCCGCGCAGTGGGGCCTGCATTTGCTGGAGAAAATGGCTGTGAAAGCACTTGCAGGAGGCCTACAGGCTACCTCATGCTAAGACATCAGGTTTTAGATCACAAGTTTTAGATTCAGAACTTCTACAGATTTTATAAATGACAGTGAGCAAATCTGCCAAGTGTTAAGTTAAATGCTATCTTTGAGAAGGCTAATTTAAGAATATGGAAAATTGTTTCAGGAGTTGGCTGAGCATTTTAATCTTAAGAACCCACCGTTGAGAGTGCTTTTATTAATGGACACAATGAAAACAATACTTTTATAGGAAATATGTTTATTATTAATCATCTTAATTTGAAAATACTCATTCTTTCTTAGGACTGGTCCATCATATTCTGTCTCTTTAAAGACATTAAATAAACAAAACTGTGAGCAATTTTACTTAATAGCACATAGACACTTCAGTAACGTAAGAAAGAAATTCCTAGCAATGAAACAAGGTCTCTAGAACTTACTATTAAAACAAAGAAAGCATTTCCAATGACAAGATGTAGGAACAAATGGATAAAAATCTAAGTCAGCACAAGCTGAAAAATGTGAGCAAGAAGTTCTATAACCCACCCTTACTCTGAGTTCGCACTGGGATGGCACAAGCACGTCCTGTGAAAGAAGCTGAGAGATATTTTCACATCTCCCTGAAGAATGGGTCCTCTGGGCTTGGGACTCATGTTATCTAAGTTCTCCAAGCCTACTGCGTTTTCAGCTTCTTGTCCACATAATTATGACCAGAGGTTTCAAGGAGAAGACAAGAGCAGGAAGCACTTAGCTTTGACTTTTGAGCAGATGTAACACCAGCTCTTCATCCTCTGCTAAAGACAGGCCCGTATCCAACGGCTCTATGATTTCCCACTTGGCCTTCTTTTTGTTACCACTTGTGAGTCCTGTGTCTTCCGCTTCACTGTTGTTCCTTTTCCTCGTTCCCTGCTTCTTCTTGGTATCACTGGTGAGAACAAATCCAATGATTTACTTATAAATAAATAATGAAGTTCATTATTCTGAAATCAAACACTTAAAATAGGACAAAAATGCCAATAACCAATAGTTGGTAAAGTGATATTATTCAAAAGAGAAAGAAACTATAACAACTTCAGGATATCTGTGTCATAAGTAAGTACCTTCCCATTAATGGATGAGAAGAGAGGGCCCATCATGCACTGGGCACTGTGCTGGGGAGTCTGTACACACTGTCTCATTCGATCCTCACAATAATTTTAGAAAACCACAGATAAATTATTCACAATTTGAGGACACTGAGAGGTCCACAGTCTGGCTCTAAAAAGGCTCCGATCTGTGCTTTGCTGCTTCATCAAATTATCTCTATTTAAAGTTAGGATATCCTTTAGTTAGCAGTCTGTGGGCTAACAGATATCAGGTATGAATTCTATTATCTTCTGCATTAAGTTATGATATGTGGATCATGAGTATAACAGAAACTGAAATGTTAAGATACAAATTAAGAAAGACATCAAATAAATTTTCCCATTTAAAATCTGTATCTAAGCCGCCACATAGTCCGAAGAAAGCATACACACTGTCATATTCTGCACACACCTGCGGCATACAGCATAAAAATAATGCTAATTTCTGAAGACAGAAGCAATCGCTTGATACAATAAACATTTAAAAAGCAAAACATCTCAAAACATTTTAAAATACCATCCACATATTCAAAGATGACCCAATTACTGGATATAATATTAAAACAAAAATAAAACCCCCATCTATTAGCAACGAGGTAGCAATGTTTATTAAAAGCTTACTAAGGATTTGGCACTATGCTACATTTTTTACACAGATTACATTTATCTTCTTGAAAATGCTTGATGTGGGAAGCATTAGCCTCATTCTAAAATGAGGCTAGAGAGGTTAAATGACTGGACCCATATTATACACATAGGATTTACACCCACGTCTGAGTGACTCTAAACTCAGCCCAAAGCCAGACAGCTGAAAGCAATTTGAGTTGACTTGCTTGCATTTGGAGAACAGAAATGGAAAGAATTAGCTGTGGAAAGCGCATTGGTTTGACATCGACACAGTCCATGCCCAAATAACATTTCTAAGCCTCAGTTTCCTTATCTGAAAGATGGGGATTATACCATTTTACTTAGTAGAACTGCTGTTAAGATTTAAATAAAATTATGTAACTGCAAGAACATGGTAGTGCTCAATACATGTTAGCTGCCTACAAACTACTGCCTTTCAAATATATGCTTGCATTTATGTTATATAATAAACAGTAACAAAAATATCATCACAGAAATTATATTATAGCCCAAGCATATGATGTATTCAGAAAGAGAACAAAGTGCTTAAGTTTCAATGGACTCCATTACTCCTTAGAAGGTAGCGTGGATATGAAAGTGAAGGAGCCTAATAAGCATATGAAGCAAAACTTAGTAATTTCCCTATTTACCTCTCAGAAATGCCCAATGCTCTGACTCAGCAGCCATTCTCTTCACCACTGGGAGAAAGAACAAACTACAGAACACTATGAGGTTATCTGCAAATAACTACATTTTTAAGTAGTGCCTGGAAAGATGAATATGAAGAGTTCCATATGAAAGGAATTCAGTCAGCAAGGAAAGGAAGGGGGCCTAAATAAAAAAAAAGTTTTGACTCTTTTTAAAAAATATTATTTTGTTATTCTATTACAGTTGTCCCCATTTTTTCCCCTTTGCCCTCCTCTGCCCAACATAACCTGCACTCCCAAAGACAGTACCCGCCCTCTTGCCCACATCCATGGGTCATTCATACATGTCCCTTGACTAGTCCCTTTTCCTTCTTTCCACCCTTCCCATCCCGTCGGGTCACTGTTAGTCTGTTCCTTGTTTAGATGACTCTGGTTCATTTTGCTCACTTGTTTGTTTTGTTCATTAGGCTCCTCTTATAGGTGAGATGATACCTGTACTTGTCTTTCACCACATGGCTTATTTCACTTAGCATAATATTCTCCAGTTCCATCCATGCTGTCGTAAAAGGCAAGAGTTCCTTCTTTCTTTTTGCTGAATAGTATTCCATTGTGTAAATGTACAATAGTTTTTTAACACACTTATTTACTGATGGGCACTTAGGCTGTTTCCAGCACTTGCCTATTGTAAATAACACTGCCCATAACATAGGAGTGCATAAGTTCTTTTGAATTGATGTTTCAAGATTCTTAGGGCATAATCCAAGCAGTGGAATCACTGGGTCAAAAGGCAGTTACCATTTTTAGTTTTTTTAGGAAATACTGTTTTCCACAGTGGCTGCACCAATCTGCATTCCCACCAACAGTGAACTAGGGTTCCCCTTTTTCCACATCCTCTCCAGCACTTGTTGTGGTGATTTATTAATGATGGCCATTCTGACTGGTGTGAGGTGATGTCTCACTGTGATTTTAATTCACATCTCTCTGATGGCTAGTGATGTTGAATATTTTTTCATATGCCTATTGGCCCTGTGTATGTCCTCCTAAGAGAAGTGTCAATTCAGATCTCTTGCCCATTTTTCAGCTTGACTGTTTGTTTTCCTGGTGCTGAGTCACATGACTTCTTTTTAATATATATTGGACATCAAATCCTTGTCCAAGGTTTCACTGGCAAATATGTCTTCCCATACAATCTGTTCACTTTTCATTTTGATGAAGGTTTCTTTAGCTGTCCAGAAGCTTTTTAATTTGATATAATCCCATTTGTTCATTTTTTCCTTTATTTCCCTTGCCCTAGGAGATATATAGGCAAAAGCATTTCCACATGGGATATCTGAACGTTTACTGCCTGTTTTCCTCTAGGACTTTTATGGCACCACGACTTACTTAAAGTCTTTTATTCATCTTGAGTTTATTCAGGTGTACAGTGTAAGTTGGTGGTCTAGTTTATTTTTTTGCATGTCCAGTTCTCCCAACACCATTTATTGACAAGGCTATTTTTACTCCATTTTATGCTTGTGCCCCCTTTGTCACATATTAATCAACCATGGAGACCTGAGTTTATATCTGGTCTCTCTATTCTGTTCCACTGATCTATGTGTCTGTTCTTAGGCCAGTACCAGACTGTTTTGATTACAGTGGCCTTGTAGTATACTTTGATGTCAGGTATTGTGATACCTCCTCCTTTGTTCTTCTTTCTCAAGATTTCTGAAGCTATTCAGGGTGGTTTTTGGTTCCATATAAATGTTTGAAATATTTGTTGTAGATCTGTGGAATATGCCATTGGTATTTTAATAGAGATTGTATTGAATTTATACATTGCTTTTGGGTAGTGTGGACATTTAAATGATGTTAACTCTTTTAATCCATGAATACAGTATATGCTTCCATTTATTTGTATCTTCCTTAAATTCTTCAGTGTTCTGTTGTTTTCCAAGTACAGGTCTTTTACCTCCTGGATTAAGTTTATTCATAGGTAGTTTATTTTTCTTTTTGCTACAATAAATGGGATTTTCCCCCTAGTTTCTCTTTCTGATAGTTCATTGTTGGTGTACAAAAATACCCTTGATTTCTGAATATTGATTTTGTATGCCTCTATTTTACCAAATTCACTTATTAGGTCGATTAGTTTTTTGGTGGAGACTATAGAGTTTTCTATGTACACTATCGTGTCATCCGCAAATAATGACAGTTTTACTTCCTCCTTTCCAATTTGGATGCCTTTTATCTCTTTTTCTCATGTGATCGCTGTAGTCAGAATTTCCAGTTCCATGCTAAATAAAGGTGGTGAAAGCATCTATGTTCATTAGAGATACTGGCCTGTAGTTTTCTTTCTTTGTTGTGTCTTTACCTGGTTTAGAAATGAAGACAATACTAGCCTCATAAAAAGAATTCAGGGGTGTTCCCTCTTCTTGAATTTTTTGGAATACTTTGAGAAGGACAGGAGTTTGGTAAATGCTTGGTAAAATTCTTCTGTGAAGCCATCTGGACCAGGGATTTTGTGTGCCAGGAGTTTTTTTGATTACTGCTTCAATTTTACTAGTAGTTACCAGTCTATTCAGGTTTTCTGTTTCTTCTTGTTTTGGTTTTGGAAGATTGTATTATTCTAGAAACTTGTCCATTTGGCCCAGTTTGTCCAATTTCCTTGCATAGAGTTGTTCGTATTAATTTCTTACAATCCTTTGTACTTCTGTAGTATCGGTTGTTACTTCTCTTCTGTTTCTGATTTTATTTATTTAGGTCCTCCCTCTTTTCTTCCTGGTTAAAGGCTTGTCAATTTTGTTTACCTTTTCAAAGAGCCAGTCCCTGGATTTACTGATTTTTTTTAATTGTATTTTTAGTCTCTCTGTCATTTAATTCTGCTCTGATCTTGATTATTTCCTTCCATCTACTTGCTCTGGGCTTTGTTTGTTGTTGTTCCTCCAGTTCTTGCAGATAAAAAGTTAGGTTATTTATTTGAGATTCTTCTGACTTTTTTAGGTAGGTCTGTATTGCTATGAACTTCCATTTCAGGATTGCCTTCACTGTGTCCCACAGGTTTTGGGTTGTTTTGTGTTCATTTTCATTTGCTTCTAGAAACTTTTTGATTTCTTCCTTGATTTTATGGTTAACCCATTCACTATTTCATAGCATATTATTCAGTCTCCATGTATTTGAATGTTTTTGAGATTTTTCCTTGAGGGTGGTTTCTAGTTTCAAGCCATTGTGCTCCAAGAAGATGCTTCATATGATTTCAATTTTCTTGAATTTGTTGAGGCTCGTTTTGTGTCCTACCATGTGGCTTATCCTTGAAAATATTCCATGTGCATTTGAAAAGAATGTATATTTTGCTGCTTCGTGATGAAAGGTTCTGTATATATCAATTAAGTTCCTTTGATCTAGAATGTTGTTCAATATCACAATATCTTTGTTGAGTCTTTGCTTGGAAGACATATCCACTGTTGACAATGGGGTGCTGAAATCCCCTATAATGAGTGTGTTGTCAATATCTTTCTTAAACTACTACAATATTTTCTTTATATATGTAGGTG